CCCCCCTCCCTCCACACCAGTCTCAAGAAAGTGGCGACTGGGCTGGCGCACGCTGCATGTGTGTGAGCGTGTGTCTGCGTGAGAGCGTCTGCGTGTCCTCTGCCTGCTGAGAATGTCCGGCGCGGGAGGTCCTCGTGCGCCTGAGCCCGGGTTCGGCAGGCGCCCGCTGTGACAGTGTCCCTCCTGCAGCTGCCCTCACTCCCAGGAGACCCCGCTGCTCGTCATGTCTCCCTGGGAAAGCGCTGGCCGTCTGTCTGCTCTCCCTCCCTCTCTCCACAATCACTAGTAAATATAAAAGGCATGTTTGTACTGCTCCTGCCTAGGTCTCTCTCTCTCTCTCGCTCTGTCTCTCTCTTCCCCTCTCTCTCTCTCATTTACCCCTCCTCCTCCAGCCTCTTGCTCTCTCTTTCTCACTGTCAAAGCTGCCTTTCAAATGCTGATTAGCACCCTGGGTAAAAGAGAGAAGGAGAGGTGGAGAGAGGGAGGGGCAACGTGACTGAAAACAGGAGAAGATTCCATCACATCCAAACATATTCGACACTGTTTCCACTTCCCTCTCCCTCTCTCTCTTTATCTCTCTCTCTCTCTCTCTCTCTCCCTCTCTCTGTTACACACACTCACACATCATACGCACTTCAGCACTTTTAGCAAGCGCAAACAGCAAGTGAACTGGCAAAAAAAATTAATAAATAAACTAATAAATTAAAGCAGGAGACTCCACGTTCGAGGAAACCAAATATGATCACAAATGCCGTTCCATCCTTCCGATCCCCCTTGTTCATCCTTTTCTCCTTCCCTCCCTCCCCCTCTCCTTCATTCATTCCCCTTGCCCTCAAACACTACTCAGAATATTGATACACCCCCCTCCCCCCTCCTCCCCCTATCATTCACTCTCTCCGCTGAATACTGATGGGTCGTCTCCTCCGTGTCTTGGGTTCCAAGTTCTCTTTATTTCGGCTGTCGCAGAAAATAATAAGAAATAAACGACATGAAGGGAAATAAGCAAAGCCGAGGTGATGAGCTGTGGTTAAGTGCAGCTTCAGGTCGTTCGAAGCCGGTGGCAGCTGAACCAAACCTGGAAAAGTTGCAGATACAGTCGTGCTCCTGGATCTGCACGACTTTGGGGAATGAGAACAGGCCGAGGTTATTAAGGGAGGATGAAAAGCCGCAATCTAGTCGTGTCGCGGCCGCGTGCCGGAGAAGCAGCGGGTATTCGACCCCAACACCGGGGTCAGGATGCCCAGGCAGCATCCCGCTGTGGGGGCTGATTCTCAGGGAAGGGGTTCACACATGCTGGATGTTAGACTTTTTCGCTCAGATACTCTGTCTGGATCGTTGACAAAAGGTGGGATAAAATGACAGGGATGAAATATTTACACTCCATATAGACGAAATATCACCAGGACAATTTAAAATCAATCCTAGAAAAAAAATGACATCCATCTTCCATAACTGTTCTCCCAGTATAGGATAGTGGTGAGACTGGAGTCTGTGCCAGAAAACACCAGATGCACACACACACACCCCAGAAGCAAAATGAAGGTCCCAGTCCATCTAAAGTTGGGACACCGAGAGCCTGCAAACTCAGCCCTAGGAATCCCACCCCTGATACAAGCCACAATACAAGCCACTGAGTCACCCAAATTTACAGATGATGTATGGAAAAAATACATATGTATGACAACATATTACACAGACTGTATTACAAATCAGTTCAATTTGTCTACAACGTCATAATAGCCTTATTTATATACAAATTATGTAACGCTATATATTAGGAAATGTAATATATACACAATTATATAAAGGCACATGTAATTTATGGCTTGTATAATGAGACCCCTTTTGTCATGTTTGGTGTGAAGGACAGGCCACGCTCTGCTTTTCCCGCTACCAGCCCATCAGGCTCACGCGTGCTGGGCCTCATCTGTCACCTGGTCTGCGGGGCTAAGGCTGTAATTACAGCTTTCAGAGCTGCTGGGTTGTGCGTGCGTAGCGTGGCAGTTCAACGGAAGCACGCCGGCTAATGCTAACCTCTGCTCTGCCTGTGTGCGCAGGGTGTCTGAGCAGGGTGTCTGCGCGCCGCCTGGGTTTCCATGGTTGAATCCCGTTTGCTGTCACGGTACCAAAAACATGCGGTCAGGCAAACTGGCATCTCTAATCAGCGTGGCCAGAAATGGACTGGCATCCCGCCCAGGGTGTCCCCTGCCCCGGGTCCTTAGCGTCCGGGGGATGGACTCCACACTCTCTGTGACTCTGGACTGGATAAGCTGTTATAGAAAATGGGGGAATAGATGGATTTTTTTTTTCTTTTTTTTGCACAAAGCCGGCCTCCATTATTGTTAACCCCGAGTCTCTGCCCTTAACATTCACCCCACTGGGCATCCACCATGGCAACCAGCAGAGGTACCCTAAACCTCCCAAAGCAGACAGCAGAGAGCAGCCCTGGCTGGCACCCTTTCTGCACTCCAGGAGAGCTGCTGACACACGCTGTGGGACCCGCTGCTGGTCGATACCTGTGTGTTTAACAAGGCCGTAACACCTCGGGGTCTCATGTCAGACACGTAAGCAGTCCCCTCACTGCTGGCCCCCTTCCTGCGTGGGCTACAGATGTGTGAGCCCCCTTCCTGCATGGGCTACAGATGTGTGAGCCCCCTTTCTGCATGGGCTACAGATGTGTGAGCCCCCTTCCTGCATGGGCTACAGATGTGAGCCCCCTTCCTGCGTGGGCTACAGATGTGTGAGCCCCCTTCCTGCGTGGGCTACAGATGTGTGAGCCCCTTTCCTGCGTGGGCTACAGATGTGTGAGCCCCCTTCCTGCGTGGGCTACAGATGTGTGAGCCCCTTTCCTGCGTGGGCTACAGATGTGTGAACCCCCTTCCTGCGTGGGCTACAGATGTGTGACCCCCCTTCCTGCATGGGTTACAGGGCTACAGATGTGTGACCCCCCCCCTTCCTGCGTGGGTTACAGGGCTACATGTGTGAGCCCCCTTAGCATTTCCTAAGGCTCAAACAAGAAAGGGAATAAACCAGGGTGTATTTATAGCATAGCTAAAAACTCTGGGCCCCCAGACAAAATATGTACGTGTGTGTGTGTGTATATATATATTTATGTTATGATCTTACGTGTTACGAGGGCCCCTATAAAGTGCTGTGCCCCACCCCAATCTCCTGGGTATCCATGTCTCTACTGCACACCTGCTTTGGGTCAGGGGTCCCACAACACAGAGGCCACATGGGGGCATCAGAGTCCGAGTCTGGAGTCCGATAGAATGAGATAGAAATTAAGTTAATTTTACAGAGTTTCTGGTGTTTATTACAACTCAACTTAAAATGACAGATGCAGAGGACAGATGTACATCTGGGACTCTTTTTCCTATTTTCGCATGAAGGAGGTATCCCTCTCTCTCTCTCTCTCTCTCTCTCTCACACACAGTCTGAAGCCTGCCCTCCCTCTCCCCCATTCTCTCTCTTTCTCTCTCTCTCTCTCTCTCGCTCTCCCTCCCTCCCACCTATTCGATATTCCAGCCTTGTCCTCCTGCGGTCTCCAGCACAACTTTTCTGTCCTGGGTTCCCGATTTCCCACCCCAGTGCTGTGATCAAAGCCCGCAGGCCGGCACCGCCCCAGGCTAGGGAGAGAGGGACAAAGGGGATGAAGAGGTGGTAGGAAAAAAAAATGTAAAGAGAAAAGGCAGAGTAATGCAGGTGCGAATGGAGGGAGCAAGGAAGGAGGAGGCAGTGGCACTCGTCACTTTCACACTCGTCACTTTCACACTCGATGCTTTCATGCTGAGCGCCAAGCAGTCAGGTCCTATCTGAAGGCAACATGGCTATGTCCTTGAAGCCTGGTTTCGCTCACTACTTTCTGAAAGAATTGACTCAGCAGGTAGTAGAATTACACTTGATAATAATCCAGGGGGGAATAAACTAAACCATTGGCAGTTCAAACGTCTGATTTTGTCTAGTTGCTGCCATTGTTCCTGTTTTCAGCCTTAATAATCTATTTCCTGGTGATACACTTAGAGTCTCTCTTTACGTTTAGCTGAGAGAGGTTGGAGCTGAATCCTGGTATCGATTTGGCCCACTATCCAAAAAGTATAGCAGGTTGCTGGCTAATTATCAAAAAAATATTTGGTGGGATATTACTGTGACCACTCATTCAGCCAAGGCTGAAGCAAACTAGAACCTATTGAGGAAAGGTCTAAGGTAGGATTCAACCTCGATGGGACACCTGTCTCATCAAAGTAATCACCTGTAAAGGTGAATTAGAATTACAGTTTACTTATTTATCAGACACTGTTACCCCAAGCGACGTACATTTGATGAAGCAGGGCCAGACAATCCAGGGAGTAATTGAGGATTAGGGGCCGAACGGTAAAATCACTGCCGATTCTGGGATTTGAACTGGCGACTTTTGGACCACAAACACAGCGGCCTAACCTGTTGCACGTCACGCCAACCCCCCCAGTGACAGAAAAGGAGGGGTGTCTGTAAAACCCGGACACAGGCACGGGGGGGTGTATCATCCCTGCAGGGCTGAGGCCAGAAATGACAGTAGCACCCAATCAGCTAACACATCCCACCAATTATCCCAGGCAACTTTAATGCAAGAGCTTGTTTTTATCTGCATATCACAGTAGGTACTAACAATTAAAAACCATGGCACATGATGATTATACTTGATCGGTCTGTGCTAGAACCCAATCCCAA